AGCAAGAATGAGTACTTCAGCAGGGAGATACTGAAGGCATTCCAGTGGTAATAAGATAGTATGAGGTGAACATTGCATTCAGCAGCCATCAGAAAACAGACCTTACATTAAAGCCAGTAGTGACAGAATTTCAGACAAGAGATTCCCAGTGAAGCCATTTCCAGAAATGTACAAAAGCTTCATTCACAGTTAGAAAAAGATCACTTGAATATCTTCCAAAATCAGAACAAGGCAGTAACCAGTTATGTAGATGTCCCATGCCATTTTATCCCAAAGGGCCCAAATCTGATATTCATGCATTTAGGAAAGGCAGAGAGCCACAGAGTGGGGAGATAGAAAAGACCATACCCTCTTCCCACTGCTGGCTTTCAGCAAGAGGTAAACCTGAGCTGGGGAGAGTTTTGACCATTAAATGGAATAAACTTTTTAACTATTGGAATAAAATAGTTTTCATGACTAAATGTAAAAGCAGTGGCTTTTTATAGCGAAGATTGACCCAAAGATTTATCTCTGCCTATGATTTCATCCAAGTTTTGAGAAAATCCTACAAACCTTCTTCCTCCCCCCAAAAATAGAAAGAGTAGGGGTGGGAATAAAATTGTTTTATGGATGTCACCTATGGAGTTGCATACTTTCAATGGGAGTGGTAGCATTTCACTTCAATCAAGATAAACAACTTTATGCAACTAAAATTTAAAATTTTAATAAATATAATAAAAATTTAAAAATACTAGAATAAATATACAAAAAATAGTCAACTGTATACAAAGATGCTAATTGTATAAATAATGTGATGTTACATAGGGCTGAAGTCTACAGTTCACAGGTTGTACATTAAATGACTCCAGAGAGGGCCAGTGGCATTGCAGTTATTCTGATGGTTGTCAGGCAGGAAGAGTCTAGAGGCAGAGCTGCTTTCCTAGTGTGGGGTAGTAAAGGGAATGCTCTAGATCATGAGAAGCATTTACATATGGTTTATAAATTATTTAGGTTATTAACAATACTATTATGAATTATAAATGTTATATAGTGCATTCAAAATTAATCTCTCTAGAAAGCAGCTTGGTTATTAATTTGAAAAAAAAAAAGTATCCCTGTTGTTTATTTAATAGTTTAAGAGTTAAAATTCTGTTTTTTTATTTTTTTTGAGAGGTTTTTGCTATAGGGCGCATGTGCTCGCCAGAGAGAGACGTAGAGACAGAAAGCAAGAAATCACCCCCCAGGGGGGATGGTCAAGCTGCAATCCCTTCTCCTCCATTCTCCTCTCGGGATCTTGGGCACACACGCACATGCGCCCAGTGTGAGTTTTAAGCCACCGAGTCCGGGACGCAAACCGCGGTCGACTACGTGGGAGTCCAGCGACATAGCCATTATGCTAACTGCTGGTTCCCTCTATTTGTTTTTTAACGTGTCAGTCAAGGAAATACATATCTTTCATACTCCTTTGTAAGGATGCCAAAAATAACTATATTGGGTATCAATTGAAGAGCCCCAAAGAGACTGAATTGAACTGAAAAAGACTTCGAAACAGGAAAGCACTCAGTTATCTTCTATAAATAAATTTAAGCTTTCCTTTTTCCTTATTCTATTATCTGAAAAAACCTTAAGTTAATATTTAGAAAATAAAGTTAAATTTTTTGAGGCATCAGTTTTTGTGTATATATTTTGACACGCTCACTTCCTTGTCTCCAAATACATGTAAATTCTACATATCTGATTGAAGATCTGGGACTTTCTTTGACTACATAGAAATAATTCCTTATATCAAACCCTATAAATGTTCATTTTATTTATTAAATGCATATTTTGGGGACTAGCAGTTAGCATAATGGCTATGTCTCTGGACTCCCACGTAGTTGACCACGCTTCGAGTCCCAGACCCGGTGGCTTAAACTCACGCTGGGCGCGTGTGGGTGCGTGCCCAAGATCCCGAGAGGAGAATGGAGGAGAAGGGATTGTGGTGTGACTATCCCCTCTGGGGAGTGATTTCTCGCTTTCTATCTCTCTGTCTCTCTCTGTCTGGTGAGCGCACATGTCCTATAGTAAAAAAAGACCTCTCCAAAAAAAGAAAAAAAATGCATATTTTGTTACCTAAGAGGTTTTTTGTTGTTGTTTGTTTTAACGTTAATATAAATGTCTGGGAAATAAGATTCTTACTTAATAGCCTATAAAGTAGGCTGATGTATCATCAACTACCTTAGCATTATTGGATAGAAATAAGACCTACCCTGACTATTAAATAGAATTGGACAAGATTACTAATTCTAATAAAGACATTGACTCCACAAGATTTTTTCCTCTGTATTTGAAAGTAAAATTGATATTCCTACCAGCACTTTAAAATTTTATTTACTGAAAATTACTCCTTTCAACTTAAATTTTTCTTTCCTTTGCATTTATTTTACAAGGTAGAGGTTGTTGAGTAGAGAGTATAGAAAGAATGAGGTATTGGCTTTGTGGCATAATGGTATCACACTGTTTCAGAGAAGCTGGATTCCCAGATAGCTACATGGTTCAAATCCCTTGCCTGGTGTGCCTGAAACACTATGGGCACACAGGATCTGATGGGCTAGAGGATTAGAGGAAGGGAATGGAAGCATGACCAGACTCTAGGAAGGATGCACATCTCTCTCATGCATGTGCAAACACTTTGTGAAGTAAAATGTACTCATTTTTAACTATGACCACATATAGGAAGGGTCATCAACAGTTCATGGAAGTACTACTTATTACAAAATTATAGGTAGATTTCAAAATTTTTTTCCACAATAAACTTGACCTTTTCAAATTGCTAGAGGATGTGTTCACTTGCTAGAGAGAGAAAGCACTCCCCTCCCTCCCAGTTGGGCATGGTCACACTTCAATCCTTTTTCTCCATTTCTTTATCCTATCAGGATTTGAGGCACATGCATACACACACACACAGTTCTGGCATATGTTTCAAGTTGCTGGGGCTGGCATTTGAATCATGCTCACTCATGTGATATCCAGGTCTCTGTGCATAATGCTTCATTATTGCGCTATGGGTCTGATCGTAAATTTGTACTTTATTTCCACTTTTCCATGAATATTTTGAAGTCCTTCACTCAGGGAGATGAGTGTTAAGGGTGTTAATTATTCACAACATTTTTCCTTTGGGTTTGGAATTAATTGAGAAATATATATAGCAATCAGAGACATGGAAATAAAATATCAGCATTATCATCAGTAAAACTAAATGTTACTTGGACCAGCAATTCAAACCAGGCTTCTTGGTTAGTACTTGGACCCATGTCTAGACTTTTGGCTTTTGCACAAGCATATTATAACTGCAAAGGGTACTGTTCACTGCTTCTCATCCTTGGATCTCAGATAGTTTGAAGATGAAGTCATATGTGCATTTAACTTTTAACACATTACGTCCATGAGTTTAAGGGATATGGACCAGGGCCAGCAGGTGGCAAGGTGCTGGATTCCCACATTGCCAACCATGGTTCAAGTCTTAGACCTGGTTCCTTGAAAACCACACCAGGCATGTGTGTGTGTGTGTGTGTGTGTGTGTGTGTGTGCGCACCCAAAATTCCAAGAGGAAGTGGAAGAGGAGGGATTGCAGTGTGGCCATCCCCCCAAGGGGTGATTTCTCACTTTCCCTCTCTCTATCTCTCTCCAGTGAGCACATGTACCCTATGGTAAAAACCTTTAAAAAGAAAAGAAAAAAGAAAAGGAAGAAACATGGACCAATGAATGTTAGACCCTCATTATTCAGGTTAAATCTAACTCTCCTTTTATGGGGAAGCATGACTAAGAGACAGAGTGATGTCAAGGTTTATCTACTTGCAGAAATATCATAGAAATATGAAGGCAGGGACATAGGGTTTCCACGACATACTTTGGAGAATTTTACAAGTATAAGTCATTGAAATCCTTGGAACAATAAACTTACCTAGAAGACAATCATAAAATGATAAAATAATTTCAAGAAGTTATTTATTCCAGTAGTATTACTGATGAATGACCACATATATTATACAACACTGTAAGTGTTCAAAAATAGTACAGAATACTAAATTCTTTTCCTAAAATAATATTTAAGCATTATTATATATTTATATCTCAATCTAAAACACTATGTTTTTAAGTATTGTTGAATGGATATTACCATAAATACATTGGAAGAATTTAGAATATGAAGTGATCTCTGTGGGCTTTGTACTAGTCAAGAAGCTTCAGGTTTAAACCAGTTCAATCTGTCTTAAACCAAAAAGAGGAGAACTTGAGTCATGTCACTATAAGTCTAGAGATAGAATGAGGTCTTAGGTTGCTTTGATTTGATGGTTCAATGATACCAATAAAGACCAAGTTTTTTTTTTTTTTTAATTTTCTCTGCTCTGATTAGCTTCATCAAGACTAACTTGGTGTCCTTATTACAAGATGGCTACTTTTAACTTCAGAAACTTCTTTTTGTGCAAAGTTTTTTTTCTGAAAGGTCTTTCAGATGAGCAAAAATACTTATTTCCAAGAAACCACCAGCAAACACCTCTTCTTTTTTTTTTGGAGAGGTTTTTGCTACAGGGTGAGTGCACTTGCCAGACAGACAGAGAGAGACAGAGAGACAGAAAGTGAGAAATCAC